ATCCCTGCTGAAAAATCCAGCTTAAACCAGCCTTGGCTGGTTTTAGCTGGTTGAACAGCCAAGTTTTAGAGGGGTTTTGGCCAATTTCCAGGCTGGTTTCCAGCCATTTCCAGCCTGGTCTTAGCTGGTCAGGCTGGGAGATGAACCAGCTATGTCCAGCCTAAACCAGCTATGTCCAGCCTGGTTTAAGCTTAATATATCTGGTTTTGGCTGGACTCCCATCTTGGTTAGGCCTGGTCAAGCTGGTTTTAGCTGGTTTTAGCTGGTCATTTTCCAGCCTGACCAGCTAAGACCCAGGCAGGAAATGCCTGAAAACCAGCCTGGAAATGGCCAAAACCCCTCTAAAACCAGCCTGGTCGACCAGCTAAAATCAGCCAACCAGCCTAGGCTGGTTTAAGCTGGATTTTTCAGCAGGGATAGGAGTCAGTGTAAAGGGAGAGTTCAGTCAAATACGTTGTGACATTTTTGCGATCGTTTATGAAATGTATTTTACAGTTTGCGGTTAATTTGCTGAACATTAAGCCATTTAAGATGTGAGCTAAGTTACTTTTTCTTTAGTAGAACGATAGAGAAGATTTTATTGCTATTGATTCATAGAATGGCTAACACCACTATAAGAGTACTCCGCATAAAGAAGTATTCCTTGTTGTTAAGTGTTGTTATCAGGGAAAAGCCTTAATGTTTATTTTTATTACAGTATATGTATTATTTTTCATTCTATGAGACGTTACATTCAAAATTCTGCTGCACGGGTTTGAACACATACTTCCTTGCGCTATCATATCACTCCAGTTCTTCAGCAACTCTACTGGCTGTTAAATCACGTATTGATTTTAAGACTCTGATTTAAACATACAAAGCAGTGCATGGGCTAGCACCTGATAACATTTGTGACCTGTTAACTCTCCCTGCTGAAAAATCCACAGCTTAAACCAGCCAACCAGCCTAGGCTGGTTTAAGCTGGATTTTTCAGCAGGGTATACTTGAACAATATAATTATATATTTATAATAAGTTTAAAGTAAACATCAGTTCATATGCTATATGTTTGAACTGCATTAATATATTTCTTTTGATCAACCCTATTTTGAGGTAGTTCATTATGAGGCGATTTTCCTTCTGTGTGTGATTTGATTGGACGGGAATCACAGGACTGATTTTTCTAATCCCCATAGACAAGAATAAATACAGTAGTGACTGCAGGTTAAAGGAAAGTAGTGGAGTAAAATTACAGATACAGCACTAAAAATGTCCTCAAGGGAAAGTAAAAGTTAAAACTACTTACTAAATTACTATTCCTGAGAAAAAAACTACTCAATTACAGTAATTTGAGTGTTTGTAATTAGTTACTTTACACCACTGTTCACTTGGGTGTCACTAAAGGACAAGCTTCACTTGTACAATATTTATATTTGCAAAATACTGCAGCATGTTTCATGGAAATGTAAAGTTTCCAAAAGAAAGAAAGAATACAACCCATTGGCAATCTATCTTTTTTGTTTTAAGGAATATCTCGCGTAATTTTGACTTATTATTTCTGTAAACGAGGCAATAATTTTCGCTCGTCCAGAAAATGCTTCTTGATTTAAGAGTTCTTAGACATTTAGACCAGAAACAAGACAATAACTCTTGAGTAGGAAAAGCCCAAGAGCACTGCTGCGCCCTACTGGACACAAGAAGCACTTCCAGAATTAACACTATACTGACCATGATGACGGACTGGTGGGATTATAAAACACCATTGTTTTGATGCACCACAGTATTACTATGCCTACTGAAAAAAACAGCTTAAACCAGCTCGACCAGGCTGGTTTTAGAGGGGTTTTGGCCATTTCCAGGCTCGTTTCCAGCCATTTCCAGCCTGGTCTTAGCTGGTCAGGCTGGGAGATGACCAGCTAAAACCAGCTTGACCAGCCTAGCCAAGCTAGGAGTCCAGCCAAAACCAGCTATATCCAGCTTAAACCAGGCTGGTCAAGCTGGTTTTAGCTGGATTTGGCTGGTCATTTTCCAGCCTGACCAGCTAAGACCAGGCTGGACATGGCTGGAAACCAGCCTGGAAATGGCCAAAACCCCTCTAAAACCAGCCTGGTCGACCAGCTAAAACCAGCCAACCAGCCTAGGCTGGTTTAAGCTGGATTTTTCAGCAGGGAGAGTTAACAGGTCACAAATGTTATCAGGTGCTAGCCCATGCACTGCTTTGTATGTTTAAATCAGAGTCTTAAAATCAATACGTGATTTAACAGCCAGTAGAGTTGCTGAAGAACTGGAGTGATATGATAGCGCAAGGAAGTATGTGTTCAAACCCGTGCAGCAGAATTTTGAATGTAACGTCTCATAGAATGAAAAATAATACATATACTGTAATAAAAATAAACATTAAGGCTTTTCCCTGATAACAACACTTAACAACAAGGAATACTTCTTTATGCGGAGTACTCTTATAGTGGTGTTAGCCATTCTATGAATCAATAGCAATAAAATCTTCTCTATCGTTCTACTAAAGAAAAAGTAACTTAGCTCACATCTTAAATGGCTTAATGTTCAGCAAATTAACCGCAAACTGTAAAATACATTTCATAAACGATCGCAAAAATGTCACAACGTATTTGACTGAACTCTCCCTTTACACTGACTCCTATCCCTGCTGAAAAATCCAGCTTAAACCAACCTAGGCTGGTTGGCTGATTTTAGCTGGTCGACCAGGCTGGTTTAAGCTGTTTTTTTCAGTAGGCATAGTAATACTGTGGTGCATCAAAACAATGGTGTTTTATAATCCCACCAGTCCGTCATCATGGTCAGTATAGTGTTAATTCTGGAAGTGCTTCTTGTGTCCAGTAGGGCGCAGCAGTGCTCTTGGGCTTTTCCTACTCAAGAGTTATTGTCTTGTTTCTGGTCTAAATGTCTAAGAACTCTTAAATCAAGAAGCATTTTCTGGACGAGCGAAAATTATTGCCTCGTTTACAGAAATAATAAGTCAAAATTACGCGAGATATTCCTTAAAACAAAAAAGATAGATTGCCAATGGGTTGTATTCTTTCTTTCTTTTGGAAACTTTACATTTCCATGAAACATGCTGCAGTATTTTGCAAATATAAATATTGTACAAGTGAAGCT